TAATGAGGATCCATGAATGACGGACGGCTCAGAACCTCTCCTTCCAAAATCCAGTTTTGCTTGACTCTTATTATAGTCTCATTCCCCATCCCACTAACAAAAGTATGTCTAGGCATTTTCGTGTGCAGATGCCAGGAAAGCTGACAGATGGCTTTTTTAGTCAGATATTTTGTACAGATTACACAGGTTGTGTGAGAAGAGAAGAGAAAGACAGTAGAGCAAGCAGAAGGTTCAAGATGAAGCTACATACAACCTTGCAGAAACTATGGCAACCTGACTTTTCCAGTGTCAAGAGACCAGTTACAGTTTTAGAAATGGAAGACTTCCATGAGATCGTGTCCAAGCCTTTTATTTAAAGATTTATTTATTTATTTAAGATTTATTTATTCACTTGAGAGAGAGAGACAGAGAGAAAGAGTGTGAGCGTGGGGAGGGGCAGAGGAAGAGGGAGAGAGAAACTTCAGCAGACTCCTCACAGAGCATGCAGAGTGCAACACAGGGCTTGATCTCATGACCCTGAAATCATGACCTGAGCCAAAACCGAGTCAGACATTTAACCAACTGCGCCACCCAGGCGCCCCTATGCCTTTGATTTATGGGAAAATGGGCCTTAGGGAGGTTTGCTGACTCACTCAAGATCATACACCTGGTTGGCAGTAGAGTTAGAATACAGTCTGGGTCTCTTGGCTCCAGGTACTCTTTCAATTATACCACAAAACATCTTTATTCCTGTCAAAACTTAAAGATAAACCACTTGGATGAAAATCTCTCTAAACTGGTTTACACAATTCCTATTTTTATATACAAAATATAATTAACATTCTCTGTGAATTAAGGTCATTGCTATGAAGATCAATGATGTTAACTCTATAATATAGAGTATGAATGCTGATCTTGCAGAGTACAGTACAATGCTGGGAGTATGCAACTGCTTTTATGGATTTCTGTGGATTTCCTCTACTTGTATTCCTCACTGCCCTCAGTGTCTCTGCTCCAATTATCATCCCTTCCCCCCACCTTCTAATTCTAATTTTATTTTTTTAATTTTTTTTTTAAGATTTTATTTATTTATTTGACAGAGACACAGCGAGAGAGGGAACACAAGCAGGGCGAGTGGGAGAGGGAGAAGCAGGCTTCCCGTGGAGCAGGGAGCCTGACGCGGGGTTTGATCCCAGGACCCTGGGATCATGACCTGAGCCAAAGGCAGACGCTTAACGACTGAGCCACCCAGGCGCCCCCTAATTCTAATTTTAAACTCACGTTTTCTAAAGTCTATTCTCTAGAGTAATATGAAACGCAGAACAAATGTCCACCATATTCACTGCAGCATTATTCATTATAGCAAAAGTAAAAACAAAAACCATAAATGTCCAACATGGAAGAATGTTTAGTGACTAGTACTTTCAAGAACAGAATATTGTGCAGCCATTAAAATTATTTTCGCATAAAGAGGTTTGATAATGAAGAAGCACTGATGTACTAATGTTAAGGGAAGAAAGCAGAATATAAAACTGCAGAATATCAACCATATTGCAAAAATGCTTTGATCAGAAATACACAAAAATGTTTACAATGGTAGGATTATTTATAATTACTATTCTCTTATACCATTCTACTTATCTCTATTTCTGCAATAAAAATGTAACACTCCAAGTCAGAAAAAGAATTTTAAAAAAGAAAACATCGCATTGGAAAAATATAACCTAACTGATGAGAACAATATAAAATAAAAATATATAGATTCTAGGTGAGATCTAAAGCCTCTGCCGTACGGGTTTGTCCATGAATTCAGCAACATGGTACAGTTGCCGGTGGCGTTTCCTTATTTCCCATTTCTTTGCTAAATTTCAGGTATGTCAGGTTGCCGGATATTTGAACTGCGGATGAGTAAAGCATCAAGGTCTGTATACTTAAAGGAAAAGAGAGAACACTGAGAAGAAAAGACCAAGAAAGAGGAGGGAGGGAGAAAAGGTTCTAAGCCAATGCTTTCAGACAAGCGTCTAAGGATTTTTTTCATTAATTGGTTTTTAGAAGTTTAGAAGCCACAGATGGTGGCAACTGTCATTAAGTCACTCAGACTGATTTATCAGTGGATGAGCATTAAAGACAAATTAACCTCTCTAGAGATCAGGCTAGTGTCCAATTAACAATTAACTACTGCCTCGAACTAGGAGAGCTGAATTAAGAATGCGAGAACATCAAAGCCAGGATAGCATGCGAAGCTAAGCAGTTGAAGCAGATAAGTGTCTTAGTATAGGATGTTTATATCTGAAGGTACTAGATAGATAGATAGATAGATAGATAGATAGATAGATAGATAGATAGATTTTTTTCCCAATTTTCTATCCCAATTCTTTTGTAATATGATGAAAAATTTTTCTGTTAAATAGCATTATCTTTTTTGTATTTTCTCTTCTTTCTTTAAATGAAACCTTTAGTACATGGGTAATGGAGGAGGAGGCAGTGACCTTTTAATCTGACAACACGCAGTGACACTCATTTATTCATATACATATACTCAGCCCCCATAAAATGTGTCACCTCATGCAGGAATGAACAAGGGCAAACTGAGCCCAGAGTAGGTGATTTAACAAATAGATGTTGCTTGACTTCTCAAAGCTTCTAAAGATCATTTTTCAAAATTTCATTTTTTAAAAATTTCCCTCTGCCTTTGTGAACATTATATGCCAAAAAAAACACTCTTAAGAGTATTTTAGACTGGTCTGAGGGACAGACAAGATCCAAATCTGTCCTCACTCAACATTAGTAGCATTTGCAATATGATTTCTAAGGACTTCCCCAAACATGCTATGTTTTATTATAGTAACCCTGTGAGATATTACTAGCCCAACTTCATAGATGCAGAAACATCTAATTTGCTAAAGATCATACCAATATTAAGGTAGAGGGAAAAGTCCCCCTTTAGATCTCTGGCTCCCAATCCTGTATTCTTTCCACTGCTTCACACCGCAGGCTTTACTGATAACTTCCATGCCAAAGTATTTGCCCCTAAAGTCCACGTACAGGGGTACCTCGGCCTATTAGTAGCTGCTTAACAACAGTGCAGGTGAGTGAAAAATTATTCCCAAAGAAGTTAAAATTGAGTAGGAGGAGGTTGAGCCTGATGTTCATTGCCACCTTGGTCTCCACTTGGGCCCCTTCATCCACACAGACTGTGTCTCTCTTCTCTTCATAAAACCATGTTCATCATTTGTCCTTCATGGTTTAAACGAATGCTGGCCCCAAAAGAATTCCATTAAAAATCTGAGCCACTTTCTCTATTCCTTTACTCCACATCCCTCAGCTTAACTCTGATAGTGTGCAGCTATTACGGAGTGTTCCTATTCCCCAATTCTAAGGAATTTTTCTCCAGAAGCCGTACACAGATGTTTGAGCTCCCCAGCTAGACTTTAAGCAAGATCTGTGTTTTCTACATCTCAGATTCCTCCCCACCTTTTCAACACTCTTCGCCCTGTCTTCCAACTGCCTAGGATCAACAAATGCCTTCCTAGGGAATGAGAACCTGCATGAGTGTGGGGAAAGCCCAGCTGGATTAGTCAGTAGGAGGCTGGAGTCCCAGCTCTACATCTAAGTGTGTGATTTCAGGCAAGTCTATGGGTCCCGGTTTTCTCAACATAAAATGGTTGCGGGAACACGAAGTGGGTCGACTACATGAGATCTATGATCTCTAAGATTCTGTGAATATTTATATTATTTTGATTGGGTTGATCACAGCCTTACTTTATTTCATTAGGGATGAGAGAAGAGATAAATGTGAATTCCAAAGAAAAGAATGTTAAAAACAAGACAAATACAGAGATCAAATAACTAGCCCCCTAACAGGCAGAAGAAAGCCAAAGTGTCTAGAAAATTAATAAGCAAAGGAGAATAAGAAGGAGTAGAGATGCCTTGGGCTAGAAGTGTGGATCCTGTCTGACAGGGATGTAAAGGGCTTGGAGGGTGGAATGTAAATGGGAGCAGATCGGTAACTAGAAAATTGCTATAGTGGTTAGGTGTATGTAGCGTGATGTTTGCTTTTTAAATCTGCTCTTCTGTTTGCTCTTCAAGCTTGAAATCAAATGTTAAGAATGTCAGCACAGAGAATGCTGAGATCATGAGGAAGAAAATAAAATGCAAACTAACTTCCTTGTGAAACTAAAGACAGAAGTTCCTGGTATTAAAATGGGGATTAATATTACCGACGTTTGACCATTAGCAACCTATTTTCCTATATTTTCGTCCATTTGGGAGGAGGAAGGGGTAAGTAATGACAATTTTAATCAGACTATTTCTCCTAAGTTTAATTTTATTAAAGATTTTTAAATTCCAAGTAATACTCTACTGGTTTCACTAAAATTGGGTTTTAGCTGACAGACCTTGTAATAGATTAAAATGGTGTTATAAGGAGGTCTGCCCATGCCTTGATTAAGAAACTCCCTTAGATGGGATGAATTTATGGCAGGGAGTGAGCCAAAGTCACCAATGGGGTATTAAGGATGAGAATTCATCTGAGGAGCTAAAGGAAAAGAAAGTCAAGCCTTGAAATGTCAAGGAAAAGAAATGGTACCTCTTTAGAAAAGAAAATCTCTGAAATTAAAAAATAATACTTGAAGCAAGTAACAATCCTGGGATTATTGGATGTAAAAGTTTTTAGTTGGTATCTAAAACTGAAGTGATACTTTCAAAGATTAAATCAATAAGAGTACGTGGTTCATAAAAAGCCAGAAAAATTCCATTAAAAAGAAGAGCAAAAATTTTAAAGGGATTTGATTTAAGAGCCATTTTTAGAAGTCTCTTGATGAAATTTTTGATACTAAAACTGCAGAGAAGAAACTTACTGTTAATCCATGTTATATAACTTTGAATCCAGTCTGCCCTCCATCTTCTACCTCAGAAAAGGGACTAAATTTAACCAAAGTCTATAAAGACATTTCTGTGGGAGCAAAAGTCTGTGTGTGTGTGTGCGTGTGCGTGTGCGTGTGTGCTAAAGACAAACATACCTGCTTCATCATAGGATACAGTCAATTTTTCTAGCATTTCTCGGTCAATTGACAGAATCTGCTGTTCAAGGATGGTCTGGTAAGACAGAACACTATTTTCTTTGTCCTTCTCGTAGTCCTGAAGATGCTGTTTAAGGGCCTCTGGGAGTCTCGATTTTACATATTCAGCTGCAGTCTGCAGTTAAAACAGGTAGAGAACCCCATTAGTATTTCTCATCTTAGGCTTTTCACTTCCCCATGAAACCAACCCTTTAGACAAGCATATCCTTGTCATCATCATTATTGGATTCCACTCTACCAAGTACGATGAATCTTCAAATAGAGAGACTCACAGACCTGTAGGAATTTTCTTTTTTTTTTAAGATTTTATTTATTTATTTTATTTATTGGACAGAGAGAGACACAGAGAGAGAGGGAACACAAGCAAGGGGAGTGGGAGAGGGAGAAGCAGGCTTCCCGCTGGGAAGGGAGCCCCATGCGGAGCTCAATCCCAGGACCCTGGGACCATGACCCGAGCTGAAGGCAGACGCTTAACCGACTAAGCCACCCAGGCGCCCCCTGTAGGAATTTTCTACCAGGTTTAAAGGTATGAAAGATGATGGGGGACTTGGTTTGGCATAGAAAGAGTTAATACTCAGCGTTTCAACTATTCCACTGAACTCTGAAGGCCCCATGATGGTAATTTTACTGGATATAAATCTGACTTGCCCTTGTCTAGAATGCAGAAGCTAGTCACTCATCCCAGCAGTGAACCCACCTAAGCTATGACATCCACATCTTTGCTTTGATGTTCTGTGCTCATTAATGCTTCCATGGGAACTCTTGTGAAGTGAATAGAAAGGAGAGTCCTCTGTTGGGGCTGATAATGGAATAATGGGATAAACAGAGAATGAAGAGATCTAAGACAATGATGCCCCTTAACCTGAAAAAAGAACTGTTCACCAATGTCTTGACCTTTATATATATATATATATAAAGAAAAAAATATATGTATTTATATAATTTATATATATATTTATATATATAAAACATATATATAACATATATATAATTCTTAACTTGTTTTCTCTCTGCTACACAATCCGCCCAAAGCACTCCTAACTAATAACCTCTGAAATTACATGCAGTGATTTTTCAACCAGGTAAGCATGCTTCCATTTGAGGTAGGAAGAAGGCACGTGTACTTTGAAAAAGAGCTCCCCAAAGATTCTGATACGCTCTGCTGGTGGGTTGGAGAAAGCATACTCTTCTCCCTCCCAGTTGAGAACCACAGTTAAAAGTTAAACAGAACTTTAAGAGAGAAATTAAGTGACAGAGAGGCATGTATGAATCAGGGGAATTCTGAAATTCTTAAAACATCTCTCTTAGGAATGCCAAGAGTTTGGCATCTCCTTGCAGAGCAGTCCTGCATCATACACATAGGGTTTGAAGTTGATAAAGTAAAGGCATACGTATATTGTTTAAAATTATACTCACAAGGACTTGAAAATGTAAATAAAAGAAACTGTTAAAAAGGACTGTCTCTGAGATATGTGCCTGGAAGACCCATCCACATAGTTTAATATTTTTTTTTAAATTCCTGTACAGCTATTAATTGCATAATTTAAGACAAGTTTGAGTTAAACACATGCACAGACATATATACGGTACAGGCTCATCAAAAGGAGTTTGTTGTAGGTTTTTTGTTTTTTTTTTTTCATTTATCAAACAGTATGCTCTATAACCTTTGGGGAAAAATGAGATAGGTCTATATGTACCAACAAGGAAGAACGTCATGGTATTACTGTTAAGGTTAAAAAACGAAGTCACAGAATACCAGTGACAGTATATTCTTTTTATGTAAAGCATACATATATGTGTATGTTGTATTCTGTAATATCATACGTGTGGGAGAAAATATTGAGGGCTATATTCCAATTGCAGAACATACTCACTTTTTACTCTCCACATTTCTGTATTGTTTCAGTGCTCTTACTATTGTAATTTTTAAGAATTATCTTTAAATTTTTTTTTGTAACATTCATAGTTTTCCTTTTAAATGTTAGCACAATTTAAGATAAAGAGAAGTTTGCCAAAACAATGACAACTGACTTCCCAGGAAAGTTCTACTGGGAAATGGTGGGGAAAAATTATAGGTCAGTTCTCAGAGTTGCCAAATACAGGACACACTTATTATTTCCAGGTATACATTTAGATTCCATAAGTCAGATGGAATTACAATTTTAAAATATCACCAAACATTGTTCAATTCCTCTGTCAGCTAGTTAGTGCAGAACAAATAAAATTATTCCATAAAATGTAAATGGACTCAGCACATTAGCACAGCATATTTAATTCTAGAATTTAATAACAATTTTCTCCTGATACTGAAAACGAAGAGACACACTGCTGAATAACTATTTTTAGACTCATACTACCTTGCTATTCATTTTAACATCTATCTGTAATTTTTTTCCTTGGAGATAATCTATGAGGTACCAGAAGTAATTTAAAACATACATTTTACAAATATTGGTATACTCTCTATTATTTAAAGCATACACATTTCCTCCCAATTGTGTTTACCGATTTGCTTTTCTAATTAAAATCATGATATAGGTCTTTGAACAGAGTCTCTCTATTTTTTTTTTTTTTTACTATGTTGGAGTTATATTTTGGCATTTCATTTTTTTTTAAAAGATTTTATTTATTTATGTTAGGGAGAGAGAGAGAGCAGGGGGAAGAGCAGAGGGAGAAGGACAAGCAGGCTTTGCGCTGAGTGTGGAGCTAGACACGGGCTCCATCTCACCACCCTGAGATCATGACTTGAAACCAAGAGTCGGATGCTTAACCAACTGAGCCACCCAGGTGCTCCGGCATTTCATTTCTAAAACAGTATAATATCATGTATAGAGTTCTTTCTGTTGGGAAAGATTCTCAAGAGGAACAGAAAGAAAGCAACTCTAGCAAAATACTAGATTCCGTCAAGATATTTCAAAAAATCACCTTTATACTGAGGTGATACTCTAAATGTATTCAAATGGCAGTTAAAACCTTATGTTAAAAGTATGAACCTTTGTTTAAAAAGAAGCTGTCATACAAATACCATATGATCTTACTTATAATGCAATCTAAAACAAAACAAAATAAACCTGAACTCAGAGATGCTGAGAACAGATTGGTGGAGTGAGGGTGGACAAAACAGATGAAGGTGGTCAAAAGGAACAAACTTCCAGTTGTAAATAAATAAGTCTTGGGGATATCATGCTTTGCATGGTGGCTACAGTTGATAATACTGTATTGTATATTTGAAAGTTGCTAAGAGAATAGATCTTAAAGATTCTTATCACAAGAAAAGTAATTGTAACTATGTGTGGTGGCAGATGTTAATTAGGCTTATTGTGGTAATCATTTCATAATACATACAAATACCAAATCATTATGTTGTATACCTGAAACTAATATGTCAATATACCTTAATACAAAACCAGGCTGTCATCTTATTGAGATTATAATTATTCCACAAGTAATAGATAATGCAAAGAAAAATTAAATTTAAATTTTCACTGGAATTTTTAAAAAGTGAAAAATGAAATTAAAATTTAATTATCTATTCTTTAATCAATGAGAAGTACTACTGGAAGTTTAAATCCTAAATTGCAGGTTCTTATAATCAACCATGTCAGAAACAATAATATTGTTATCATTATCAGTATCTTGCATTTGTGTGGTACTTTACTCTTTTCCAAGCAATTTATGCTGTTACCATTCTGTTTGTTCAGCATAACTTTGAGTGAAAGTAGACAACTTACTGGTTTTGGCCAGTCCTTCACATCCTTCAAAGTTTGGCTCAAATGCTACAAATTCTCTTAGCGAACACACCTAATAGCAGCCAACAGTCTTTCAAGTTTTTATACAGGTATTTGTATAGGGGTAAGTATTTCAGTTCCCCAGTTTGGCTGACATAAGAACTATATTTTATACATCCTTGAGTTTGCCCAATATGTTTCAGTGCTTTGCACCAAAGAAGTTTATTATCTTGACTATATCCAAGATTCAGGTACTTTGAGATAGCTTTTTTAGCCTAATGACCGGTATAAAAATCTTCTGACAGTTCATAATTATTTGCCTGCAATCTGAACTTGCTTTCATGATTCCAGATAGAGCCTAGGAGTCATTTTCCACCAGCAAATGGTACTATACTACATTTCCTCTTTAATTATCATCGATGCCATTATTTTAGGAAAGCAAACAGCTTAAACCCAAATCATTTATATGCCAAAAGAGCAAATTATGTACTTCACATACAAAACTGTATATGAAGCTTCATGTAATGTGCTCCTCTTAATAGTTGTTTGATTGCCTCTCTCCTTGTCTTTTTTAATTCATTCAGCAACGGGCTTGCTTCCGCTAGGGACCCTCAGAGGAGTCATGTGGACCGTACCTCAGAACTGGGCCCCTCAGCTAAGGGTTGCCTTGCAGAGGTTCACTCTGCCTACAAGTTCAAGTTTGTGCTTGTTCAGGTGGCAGCAGCGAAACCTCAGGGCAGAGAGTGGAAGATGCATAGTTCCCAGGTTCCCCAGGTTACACCTGAGCAGATGGTCAGCAGCTGGAAAGATGAACTGCAAGCTTGCGAGGCAGGACACAAAAGGTGTCCAGCCAGAGTACCTTCTTACAGAAGTTGTATACATGCCAACTTCCGTCTGGAAGACAGTAAAGGGCCAGAGGAGACCCTGTAAAAAATACTCCAAAGGATAAAAGAAAAGCAGGATGACTACAGGTTTAAATTTGGGAACCTCGTAGGTAGAATGCCAATACCGGTCGTTAGGCTAAAAAACTATTTACTATTACAGTGGTATGTTCTTTAAGAAATAATCAATATATATGAAAGAATGGGGAGGGTTGCAAAGTATTTTAAACACTGCTAAATGCTTCACAATTCATCTTAAAAACCTGTCAGCCAGCCAATTCCAACTTACTGAGTGTGTGCTGAGTAAAGTGCATTAGACCCGCCACTGCTGCAAGAACAAACCTCTGCCATAAAGGAACCTGCAAGTTTAATGTGCAAACAAAACACACACATGAAATACTGGAAAAACACTCCTCACAAAGCAATAAAAAAAAAAAAAGCATGAATCTTGAGATAAATTAACATATTTATTTAATATATGAGCCATATTAAGTGCTGAATGGCCT